AGTTCTGAGTTTCAGGGTTTTCCAGTTATTAACTCTAAAGTTCTCCAGTTAGCAATGTGCAAATGAGCATCTCAGAAACATGGCACCGAGGCAGACTTTGCTCTGGGTAAGTGCATTGTCTCAGTGTAGTTTCCTTATTGTTTCTTTTTTTATATTGAAGTATTAATTTTGCCCTTGTCTTTGCCCCTTTCAGTCAACAAAAATTATGAAAATCTAAAAAAGGGCACACCATTATATATAAGATGACCTTGGGAGAAGGCACAAGAAGCTAGAAAAGGGGTGAAAAAGGCTTCCCTTGGAAGGTGATGCCTGAAATGAGCCTTTCAAGAAGCCAGGGAAGGGCAGAACCAAGATGAGCGTGTTAGGAAGCAATGCAATGAAGTCTTCTCCACAAATTCTTCCTAACAGATCCAAAAATGCACCGGATGGAATCCTGATGGGGAAATCTAATAAAAGTCACAGTGAGTCCATATGACCCAGCTTGTCAAAGGGAGGCAAACAGGGAGGTCTTCAGACACTGGAGACAGATCAGACCAGCAGTACTCTGGGTAGAGCACTCCACATGAGAGGGTGTGCACTAAGGAAAGAAGTTTCCAGCTCACGCAGGGGCTCTCCCAGAGCGACACTGGGCTACTGTTAACAGGCGCCAGCTAGCCAGTCCCAGGTCAAAGATCCAAGGTAGAGGGACTTGTGTTCATTCCAGGTAGAGTCCTCTGGGCAGTGTAAGGAGAAAGGAACAAATTCAGAAGCCAGTAGCAGTAGCAACAGCAATGCAGCTCAGAGCTTAGGCACAAAACAGGATCTCACTTTAAATGTCCAGCCCAACCTGAAGAGGAATACCCAGGGCAACACCCGACCAAAGGGGAGCCTATAATTCTACTGCTCCAAGTCACCAGAGCTTTCCAGTTGGGTGACAGGGGTGGAATCTAGCAGAAGCCTATCATTACTCAGACTCAAACTCAAGTCAGGAACTTGCAAAGCTCGGATCAGGGGGGCAATAATCGACTTTGCCTTGGATTAGATCACTTTGGAACCACTGAAAGTTTGCAGGTCCCCATCCTCAGTTATTCCTGAGATCTTGGAATAATACAACATTCAATAATCCCCCAAAGCAATAGGATCGGCCCAAACCTTCCCTCCAAAAGTATGGCAGAACCCAGCCCTAACATCAAGTCCAAAGTCAGGAAGTTAATTGGAAGAATGGGCAAAAAAAACTCCACTATAATGAGCTCTCGATGACATGGATGACAAGAATGCTCAAGACACTGTTTTTTATTTAAAAAGATAATGAGTATGTATTATGTGATAAATATGTTTATATAATATATAATATAATATGTTTATATAACTTTGTATCTATGTAAATAATCTGGACTAGTCACTATCTTCCTATAAGTTAGTCAACTAGCATTTTTTGTCTACTATGAACCAAGCACTGTGCTAAATGCTACAGATACGATAAAGGGCAAAAAGCAAACTCTGTGCTCAAGAAAATCATTGTCAGATGGGGAAGACAAGAAGTAATCAACTAGGTACAAATAAAATATAAAAAGGATAAATTGGGGATAATCTCACAAAGAAGGCGCTAAGATTAAGAAGGACTAGGAAAAGATTTCTTGTGCAAAGTAGGACTTTAGTTGAGATTTGAAGAAAATTAGGGAAGTCAGAAGGCTAGAAGAAGGTAGAAGATAAGAAGGAAGAGCATTCTAGGCATAGAGACAGCCAGTGAAAATATTTTGAGTTGGAGGATAGAGGGTCATGTGCTAGGAATAACAAGGAAGCCAATATCACTGGATCACAGATTACACAGTAGTTGGAGGGAGTAAGGTGTAAGAAGACTAGAAAGATAGGAAGACACCAGGTTACAAAGGGCTTTGTAAGACAAGCAGAGGATTCTATTATTCTTTTCTATTCAGTGCTTTGTGGACTCTTGTACAGGTGCATAAAATGGTTGCCTTTTGTAATTGAACACAAATGTTAGCTCATCTTCAATAACCTCACCGAAAACATCTTCGGAACAACTCATTAATGTACATCAGCCTGTTCCTATGTGGTTTTAATTTCTTTGAATTATCTATTTATTGAGAGCTTTTCACTGCATGTAGCTTGGAGTTATGAGGACATCAATTTGAAATGTTCTTAAATTTTTATAGATCAATGTTGTTTAGTCAGTTGTGGGTTTCTGTGTGTAATCAATTCTAATGATGTTCCAATATCTGCCACCACTGGAGGTAGCCTTTCCCTCTTGCCTTTTCCTTTAACCACTACCCTACTCTAGGCTGGATGTCCCAGAAACCATCCAGGCTGCAGGAAGACCTGCCACCACTGAAGGTGCTCTACCCCTTTGCTTCCCCTTTTGTCCCCTCCCCTATGCTGAGGCTAACCACAACTCATCTGAATTCCTTGACCTGAGGTTCTTCAACTTTTCCCTCTCAGGTTTTAATAGCTCCTCAATTTAATCTATTTCATTTACTTTAGGATTGTGAATGAAGATAATTTTTGTGACGTTTGGCACTGGTTGGCAAGTTGTTTGTTGTCTTGTGCTGTTATCTTGTTCTTATCTTTTTCAATGAGGTACAGGCTTGAAATAGTCCCAAGAGAAGTCTCTATCTTGCTATTATTCTCTTACACAGGTGGATAAATAACTTCTGCTGTTGCCGAATAAAGTATTAAGGTACAGTTGCATATTTTGTAGGCTCACTGAAAGTATACTCTGTACAGCTCCAGTAGTAGACAGGACAAGGATGTCATGCACCTTATTCTGTTTTCATATGATGTTACTTTCCTCTGCTAGTTCTCCATAGTGTGAAAGCTTTTTGTTTCATGTAGCTTTAAGATCATGAGTATTCAGTAGAGTGGCATGTATTTAAAATGTCCTGAAGTTTTTATGGATCAGTGTTATGTCTGGGTGATTGTGGGCAACAGTTTGACCTATGATAACAGTGACTACTCCATTATCATAAATAAGTCCACATGACTCAGTCATGTTTTCTTTGTATTTTGTTGTCTGAGTTCATGAAGGTGGCTTCAATGGAAGGATTCTTCATCCTACTCTTAGATCACAGTTGTTTCATAGGCTTCCTCTGAAGATAAATCATTGTTCTTCATGCTCAAATAATCTATTAGGATGTGCCTATTACCAGCAGCCACTATTGCTCAGTGAAGTGATATCTATTCTAAAAATATTTCAGTAGGTTTTTGATCTGTTTATCACATGGTCTGATTCCATGAATATCTATCAATCCTTCTTCCTTTTTGACAAGGAAGGGTGCATCTTTCTATAGCTGCATTAGCACGAGAAGCCTTGTGTTTCATTAATATTATATAGGCTTTTGATATGATACTTTCTAAAACAGTTATGGTCTATTTTATAGTTCAAAAAGTGTGTATTAAAATTGGCTTAGTGTAGTTGTTAATTACTTTAAGTGTCCTCATTCAACTTTGATTTCAGGATGCCAGTAAGTCTCTTAATTTATTTATCCACACCCTTCTCTGATATCTTTATGCTCAATGTGTCTTGCTTGGAAGAGATCAAGTCATTTGTAGGTATCACATTCTTTATCTGGTTCAGTTTGACCTTTGGATTCAAGTTCAAAGCCCGTAGGCAGCTCTCTATATTTCCTTATTGTATATAAAGAATTTTATACTCATTGAGTTTAAATGATACTTCAATATCATTTAGGAAACATCCATAAGATGGAGTACTTTCAGTTGGAGGAGTGGTGGGGGGGTGGAACCAATATAACTTGATGTCATCTATCTATCTATCTATCTATCTATCTATCTATCTATCTATCTATCTATCTATCT